GTTGGCTGTTGGTTTTGTATAAATGCCCTTAATTATGTTGAGGAATTTCCCTTCTATTCCTATTTTGTTGAGAGTTTTTTTTATCATGAATGGGTGTTAGACTTTGTCAGATGCCTTTTCTGCATCGATTGATAAGATCATGTGGTTCTGTCTTTTGTTTTATTCATGTGATGGATTACATTGTTTGTTTTTCTAATGTTGAACCATCTCTGCATACGTGCTATAAATCCCACTTGATCATGGTGAATTATTTTTTTGATACGTTGCTGAATTCTATTGGCCAGAATTTTGTTGTGGATTTTTGCGTCAATATTCATGAGGGATATTGGTCTGTAATTTTCTTTTTTTGTGGTGTCTTTACCCGGTTTTGGTATCAGGGTTATGCTTAGATTGTTTCTTGAAGTGGGAAATCCTTTGAATCTGACTCTGCTATTGTTATATTACCTTTTCCACTGAATAAAGAAGTAAAAAGTAATTTATTCGAACAATCAAACCAATTATATTTCCTTTGTAAAGATGTTCTAAAACAAATGACGCCACAGCAGCTAAACTTTGAGGAATTGAGCCTTAGTTTTGTTTTTTTCTTTTTCCCTTTTATGAATAACAGCAAAAATTAAAACAGAAGAAACCACAAACATTATAAAACAGAACAGTATTTTTTAGTGTCTTCCAAAGAGTAGGTAGAGAATGTACTTCTTTTCCAAAAAGGAACTAAAGAGAAAACAGGGAACAAACCCTGTACCTCATTGACTACAGCTTTTCACACATAAAACTTTTCTTAGATTTTTAAGAGCTCCCTTCCTTTTCTATTTCTAATGCTTCATTTTTATTGTTTTCATTAATTCTTGGGTTCTGAAAATTGAATGTTTGAGTAAATTGAAGGAAATTTCTTTCTCCTTTAATAAATATGTGTAAACAAATGAAGTTATTTCCAAATGTAAGCCAGTTTCGTTCACGTGTTGCAGAAGATGTGATGGGCATTTAGGAGCTGTGTCTTGCATGGGATAGGAGGGATGCACTTGACAATCTCCCATGCTGCATTTCTGGCCTGGCTTCTCAGGCTGTCTGTTGTCTATACCATTTGATAGTGCTATTGAATTGTCAGGTCCTAAGTGTTGGGTTTACATTCCCACCAAATTTTTATTAATTTAAAGTTTAAAATGTAAAGTAAAAATAGGACTTAACTGGATTCCTGTTGAATTTGATTTTATATTTAGGAAACAGAATATACCTATTGTCTTATAATTTACATGCCTGTATCTTCTAGGAGATTAAGTGAGAGAGAAAGGATTGGAGAATTGGGAGCTCCTGAGGTATGGGGACTTTCTCCAAAGAACCCTGAACCTGAGTGAGTGGTTAGAAGTATTTTTAAATATGTTATACTATTTGTTTAAATCTGGAATCTGTTGTCAGAATTTTTGTTAACTAAGTAAAGAACTTTAAGTGTATCTCATTTTTTTTTCTTGTAATTTATGCTGTTCTACTCTTTAAATTTTAAAAACATGGAACATAGCTAAGGATTGAAACATGTTGCTAATGGATTTTAGCATGCTAATTGTTCTCTTTAAATTGTAATTCATGGGGTATTTCCTATTCATAGAAGGGTTCAGTATTAAAATTAAAATAAATAGTACATTTATATTATTTTGAATTTTTTTTCTAACCTCACCCAGTACTAGCAGATTGCATGTCAGATATTGGTATTACAGAAGGATGTTTAAAAATGAATATACAATGCTGTTTTGTGTACTTAATCTTCCTATCAACAATACTGTCTGAAGGCTGAATGCTTTTTCCTTATTTCTTTCCTCTTTCGTGCTATTCATAAGTTTCTTCTTCCCTCTACTCTATTTCTGTGTCTACTTTAGATTGAGTTGAGACAATATGCTTGACAGGAAACCTGTAATTTGTGAGAGGATGATAAGCATTATTATCTGAAATTTGTTGTAATAGACACCTTTGGAAAATGCTCTAAGAACCTGAAGTCTTAGAATTAGAGTTGGAAGGAACTCGAAAAACAACTTTCTAGCCAATACCTAAATTATTCCAGATGTGATCTTCAGAGGAAGAGATTAATAATATAGAAACTCCCTTTCTAAACTACTGTAGAGTTTTAATAATACTCATTTTCAGAATTCTCTGTAACAGAATGAAGTCTCTTTATACCGTAGTTTGTTAGGTTTTTATTGCTCTGGGGAAACAGAACAGTTGCTGTTCTACAATATGTCCTTAACTTACTTAGAATAAAATTATGAAGTCTTCCCTCAGCCTTCTTATCTCTGGTTTCTTTCATCTTTCCTTATGGTTCCTGTTCCCCTACTTTTACCATTGTGGTTTCTTCTGAAAATATAAATCCTTCATGCTGTTTTCATTGTGACTAGTGCTTTCTGAACTCTAAAGCATTATTCAAATGTAAGTGATTGTTACATTTTTATGAAGGTTGTAGACCCTGGAACTGTACTCTTACAAAGGCATCCCAGCACTTGCTTGTAATGGTTCTAGGACAATCAATGTCATTACTGAAAAATTTTAAATCCACATTTTTATACTCCATCATTCGTTCGTATTTCATCACTTTTCTAATTCTTATAACCATTTTCTTTAATTCAGCTCTGATGAACATACACCAGTAGAGGATGAAGAGCCAAAGAAAAGCACTACTTCAGCTTCTACTTCAGAAGGTATTTTTAAAATACAGAGCTTTTTTATTAGGAAGTTAAAAAATAGGTTTATCAATAGCTGAACGTTAGACTTTGTTTTTACTCAAGTTGCCCATCATCTATTCCTTTTTAATATTTCAATTACAATAAAATTGATGCACAGGAATACCTCTTTAGAAGTTACTTTTTATTTGTATTTTATATAGAAGAAAAAAAGAAAAAGAAGAAGTCTAGTCGTTCAAAAGAAAGGTTGAAGAAAAGGAGAAAGAAAAAATCATCCAAAAGAAAACACAAGAAGTATTCTGACGACAGTGACAGTGACTCTGATTCTGAGACAGACTCTAGTGGTAAGAAAGCTAGCATGATTCTGCAAGCCTTGTTTTAAAACTAGTTTTACCTCTTAAATCTTATTTTAGGAGAAAGCTCTTAAAATCAGTAGTAATAGCCAAGATTTTTAGAACACCCACTGACCATGCCAGGCACTGTGCTAAGTGCATGCTATTCTTTATTACTATTTAATCCACGCAGTGACTGTAGGATACATCTTATAGATGAGGACATGGAGGCACAGAGCAGGTTATAAGTACCACACCAAGATCATACAGGTAGGATTCAGATCTCAGCAGTCTGACCCCAGAACAGTTGTGCATGGATTGTACAAGGCTTGTGGCACCCAGCCAAGTCAGGGGTTGGGCTGCAAGGCTTGTGGCACCAAATCAGGCCATACTGGGCTGCATCGGCCCAGTGGAAGGGCTGTTTTGTGTAATTCTCATACCCAAAGGGCACCTTTGTGCAGTTTCCAAAAAGGGATGCTATCAAGTGCCCCCTTCAGGCTGTCTGCCAATTTTCAGGAAGCACTCCTGGGGTGTCACATGACAAAAACCCATCTTTCTGTGCGCTCTTCTGGCTGACCATTGAGAAGAGGGTGCTTCCTCTGGGGTTGACACATTACACAAAGGTGTCCCTTCGTCTGATACTGCCCAGCATCCCTGGCCCCCATTGTCACTTCTCTTCCTCCTCACCGCTGAAAGACTGAACTTTCTTAAAGCACAAATCTGAGCATGTCAGTCCCCTACTTCAACTCCTTCAGTGGTTTTCCATAGCCCTCAGGGTAGGGTTCACACACTGATTGATCCTTCTCTAATCGCATATATTCTGTCACTCTCTTGCGCCATCCTCACTAGCCTGAGAACTACTTTCTGTTTCCCCAATTTTCCATGTTCTTTCTCTTGACTCTGTTACTTGGTACAGAGAGTCCCTCTGCCTACAAACTCTTCCTTCATCTGGCTTGGCTTATACGTTTCAACAATGGGCGTGCATTACTTTTGTAGTAAGTCTGATTTTAAAAAGAACTAGCTTTAGGATCACCTTTTCCTGGTCAACCATTTTTCACCCACCCTCCCCAAATCAGTCTGCACGTGAGACGCCTCTGTGTGCCCAGAGCACTCTATGCTTCTCTCTGTCCCTCCGGATTGTATTTTTCTCTTATCTCTCATCTCCATTAGATGGAGCTCCTGGAAAGCATTCCTCCCCTCCCCGACACAAAAAGTTTTTTTTTTCATTATGAAAACCATCAACAATATAGAAAAGTAAATAGTATAATTTATCAGAAACCAAACCCGTTGCTGTCAAGTCGATTCTGACTCATAGCCATCCTATAGAACAGAGTAGAACTACCCCATAGGATTTCCAAGCTGTAATCTTTTTTTTCTTCCTAAATTCTATCTATTTTCTTGTTGTTAAGAATATACAGATCAAAACATAGACCAATTCAACAGTTTCTACATGTACAATTTAGTGACATTGATTATATTCTTCGAGTTGTGCAGCCATTCTCACCCTCCTTTTCTGAGTTGTTCCTCCCTCATTAACATAAACTCACTGCCCCCTAAGGTTCCTATCTAATATTTTGAGTTGCTCTTGTCAATTTGATCCCATATAGATAGTTCTTAAAAGAGCATAATGCTTGAGGCAGACCTTTTTTACTAGTTATTGTTCGGTTTTAAGATGACTTCAAGGATATTTTTGGTTTAAGGTTTAAAGATTATCTCAGGTACTAGTTTTAGGGGTTCATGCATTCTCCATGGCTCCAGAAAGTCTAGAATCCATGAAAATTTGACATTCTGTTCTGCATTTTCCCCCTTTTGATCAGGGTTCTTCTATGGAATCTTTGATCGAAGTGTTTAGTAATGGTAGCCAGCACTATCCCGTCCTTCTGGTCTCATGGCAAAGGAGGCAGTTGTTCATGGAGGCAATTAACCTCACATCCCATATCCTCCTCCTATTCCTGACTCTTCTTCGTCTGTTGCTCCAGGTGAATAGAGACCAGTTGTTGTGCCTTGGATGGCCACTTGCAAGCTTTTAAGACCCCAGGCACTACACAAAAAACTAGGAGGTAGAACAGGGGCACTAAACACGTTATTAGGCCAATTAACTGGTATGTCCCATGAAATTATAACCCTAAACCTCCAAACCAAGGACCCAAATCCCATGAGGTGTTCAATTGTACATAAGCAGCCTCAACAGCTATTCTTTTTTTGTCATTGTTGTAAATATATCTACCACACAACTTTTGCCAATTCAACTTTTTACAGGAATACAACTTATTGATAGTAATTATAGTAATCGGCCATACAACCCTACCCTTAATCAATGTGATTTTTCTATCACTGTTAACCCCTCTCTTCCCCCTCCCTCCCAACTCTGGTAACCACTAATAAACTTTGGTCTCTATATATTTGCCTTTTCTTGTCTTTTTATGTAAGTAAGGTCATACAGTACTTATCATTTTGTAATTGACTTATTTTGCTCAGCATAATGTCTTCAAGCTCCATCCATACTGTAGCATGTATCAAGACTTCATTTCTCCTACTGGCTGAGTAGTATTCCATTGTATGTATGTACCACATTTTGTTCATTCATCTGTTGATGGGTATTTAGGTTGTTTCCACTTTTGGCTGTTGTGAATAGTGCTGCAATGAACATTGGTGTACAGTTCTCTTTTTGAGTCTCTACTTTCAAGTCTTTTGGGTATATACCTAGGAGTGGATTTGCTGGATCATATAATAGTTCTGTTTTTAGTCTTTTGAGGAAGTGCCACAATGTTTTCCACAACGGCTGTACTATTTTGCATTCCCACCAACAATAGATAAGGGTTCCAGTTTCCCCACATACTAACCAACATTTGTTATTTTTATTATTTTTTTAATTTTAGCCATCCTAGTGTAAGTGAAATGGTATCTCATTGTGGTTTTGATTTGCATCTCTCTGATGGCTAATGACACTGAGCATCTTTTCATATGTTTGGCAGCCATTTGAATGTCTTCTTTGGTGAGATGTCTATTCACATCCTTTGCCCTTTTTTTTTTGTATTCAATTTTATTTATTTATTTATTTTATTGTACTTCAGGTGAAGGCTTACAGAACAAATAGTTTTTCATGAAACAGTAGTACACATTGTTTTATGACAGTGGTTAACAACCCCACAACATGTCAACCCTCTAACTTCTCAACCTTTTTTTTTTTTTGGTGAAAATACATCCTTTGCGCATTTTATGATTGGGTTGTTTGTATTTTTGTTGTTATCAAAGTTTTATACATATTTTGGTTATTAGATTCTTGTCGGATATATGGTTTCGGAAGATATTCTCCCAGTAGGTAGCTTGTCTTTTCACTTTTTTGGTAATCTTTTGATGAACAAATGTTTTTCATTTTTGTGAGGTCCCATTTATTTATTTTGTCTTTTGCTGTTTGTGCTTTTGTTGTTATACTAGATAATACATTGTTGAAAGCTAGGACTGACAGCATTGCCCCTCCTTGTTCTAAAAATTTTATGGTTTAAGTTTGCACATTTAGTTCCTTAATCCATTTTGAATTTGTTTTTGTGGATGGTGTGAGACATGGATCCTGTTTCATTTTTCTGCATGTGGAAATCCAATTTTCTCAGCACCATTTATTGAAGAGACTCTTCTTTCCTCATCAAATGGACTTAGCATCCTTGTCAAAAATCATTTGACCATAAATGTGTAGGTTTATGTCTGAACTCTCAGTTCTATTCCATTGGTCTATGTGTCTACTGTTATACCAGTACCAGGCTGTTTTGATTACTGTAGCTGTATAGTGTGTTTTAAAATCAGGAAGTGTGAGTCATCCTACTTTGTTTTTCTATCTCAACATTGCTTTAGCTACTTGGGGCCTCTTGTCACTCCATATAAAGTTGAGGATTGGTTTTTCTGTTTCTGTAAAGAAGGCTGTTGGAATTTGGATTGGGATTGTGTTGAATCTATAGATCGCTTTGGTTAATATTGACGTCTTAACAATATTAAGTCTTCCAATCCATGAACATGGAACATCTTTCTATTTATTTAAGTCTTCTTTAATCTCTTTCAGCAGTATTTTATAGTTTTCATTGTGAAGTCCTTCATGTCCCTGGTTAGATTTATTCCTAGGTATTTTATTCTCTTAGATGCTATTGTAAATGGAATTGTTTCCCAAATTTCCCTTTCAGATTTCTCATTGCTGTTGTATAGAAACCCAACTGATTTTTGTTTGCAAGGCTATAATTGTTATGGAAGCAGACTGCCACATCTTTCTCCTGCAGAGCAGCTGGTGGGTTCGAACTGCCGACCTTTGGGTTAGCCACCAAGCGCTTAATCACTGCGCCACCAGGATCCACTAAACCCAGTTGTCATAGAGTCAGTTCCGACTTATAGCAATCTTATACCATATGCTTATTACCTAGATTTAACAATTGTTAGCATTTCGATATATTTGCTTCAAATGTGTTTTTTTTTTGCTGAAGTATTCAAAATATCACACTTCAATCCTAAATATTTTTATATGCATCTCTAAAAAATAAGGACATGTTCCTGTTTAGCCATAATATCATTATCTCACACAGTAAAAGTGATAATAACGTGCTACGTCATCGAATACCACATGTCACTTTAATTTCTATGTCTCCAGCGCCTAGCACAGTTCCTGGCAAATAGGAATAAATGTTTGAATGAATTAATTTCTCTGTGACAACAAATGGGACAGCAATAGGGTATTTGTATATTCAGAAGTATTGGGGTTTTAGAGTTTAAATTTTTTTTCAATTATAATGTGTTTTAATTTGCAGATGAAGATACAAAAAGGAGGACAAAGAAAGCCAAGAAAAAGGAAAAGAAGAAGAAACACAGATCGTCGGTTTTTTTTCTTAATTTTTATTATGGAAATGTATATAAAATTACAAAAAGTATTATAATGATCCTCCATGTACCCATCACCCAACTTGAACAATTGTCAACTTGTAGGCAGTCTCCACTACCCCTAATTATTTTGAAACCAATCCCAGATATCATTTCATCTATAAATATTTTGGCACATTTCTCTCAAAGATACACTCTAAAAAAATCATAACCATAATAACACTATCATACCTAAAAAACTTAACAGTAGTTCCTCAATTCTCATCACTTTTTTTAAGTGTGTTCAAATCGAGATCCAAATAATGTCCATAAGTTGTAGTTAGTTGATATGTCTCTTAGATCTCTTTAAATAAATAGGTTCCCCTCCCTTTTTTGTTCTTGCTTTTTATCACTCTATAGACCACTTGTCCTGTAGTGTTTCCTGTAGTATAGATTTTGCTGATTGCATTCTTTTTTTTTTAATTTATTTATTTTTTTGTTGAGAATATACACAGCAGAACATTCACCAACTCAACAATTTTTACATGTACAATTCAGTTACACTGATTACATTCTTCAAGTTGTGTAACCATTTTCATCCTCCTTTTCTGAATTATGCATCCTTGAGTAACTTAAGCCCACTGCCCCCTAAGCTTCCGTCTAATCTTTCAAGTTGCTGTTGTCAGTTTGATCCCATATAGGTAGTTCTTAAAAGAGCACAATGCTCAAGGCAGATATTCTTTACTAGTTAAGCTAAACTTTTGTTTGGCTTAAAGAAGACTTCAGGGGATATTTTTGGTTTCAGGTTTAAAGATCTTCTCAGGGCAGTAGTTTCAGGGGTTCATCTAGCCTCCATGACTCCAGAAAGTCTGGATTCCATGAGAATTTGAAATTCCAGTCTGCATTTTCTCTCTTTTGATCAGGATTCATCTACAGAATCTTTCATCAAAACGTTTAATAATGGTAGCCGGGCACCATCCAGTTCTTCTGGTCTCGTGACAAAGGAGGCAGTTGTTCATGGAGGCGCTGATTGTATTCTTATGCTGTTCTTTAACATGTTCTTACGTCCTCTGTATTTCCTGTAGATTGATAGATCTAGAGGCTTGGTGAGGTTCAGATTCAAGTTTGAAATATTCAGGAATACTTCATAGGTAGTACTATATACTTTCATCAGGAGGCAGATAATGTAATGCCTGGTTGTGTCTTTTTGACGTGTTAGCAACCATTAATGGTCATTGCCTAGATTCATTATTTCATTAGGGATTGCAAAATAGTGATAGTCTAATTCTAATTCTGTCTTTCCTTCTTCATTTATTAGGTAGAATAATTCTATAAGAGAAACTTAACATCATCAACTATTTGGTTTCCCTGAAGTACAGTTTGTATAGAAAGGGCTGGATAATTGCTTGATTTTTTTGGTTTGTTTTATGAGTTTTCAAAATAATGAGCTGGTTTCCTAATGTCCTCTAAAGGTGACTAATGAGGTGTATTTTTTTAATATTATTATGAACCCAAGGATTTAAAACTATTTGATGTATTTTAATCCATTATACTTAAAATTATTATTAATGCTCAAATTGATAAGGCTGTTTTTAAACTACTTTATTTCTGTTGTCTTTCTACAACATGAAAACTGTATTAATTATTCCCTGTAGTAATCTTTTTTATACAGTGAAACATGATTTGATTAAATAAGTTAGAGGATTTTTTAATTAAAATTCTTCTCTAACAAGTTTGAATAAGCTGGGAATTTAAACCATTTTAATCAGTCTTACCCTGCATTGTCTTAAATAAGGTGCCCTTTAACATGAGACTATTGAGTCAATTTGCATCAAATTATAATCACTACAGGAAGAAATACAAGAAAAAGAAGTCTAAGAAGAGTAGAAAAGAGAGCAGTGATTCAAGTTCTAAAGATTCCCAAGAAGAGTTTCTGGAGAATCCCTGGAAGGATCGATCAAGTAGGTTCTTTTGATAGACTTTGACTCAGAACAGATGAAATGTTAAATTAACCAATTAGTCAAAATGTGAATATGTTTCTGAACATCTTTTGTGCAGAACCGGAAGAGCCCTCAGATTTAATTGGACCAGAGGCTCCAAAAACACTTGCCTCTCAAGATGATAAACCTTTGAAGTAAGTAACAATGTATTTACAATATCTAAAGTACCTTCCAGAAGCCCTGGTCGCACAGTGGTCAAGAGCTCAGCTGCTAACCAAAAAGGTCAGCAGTTCGAGTCCACCAGCCGCTCCTTGGAAACCCTATCGGACAGTCCTACTCTGTCCTATAGGCGTGGTACAAGTAGACTCAACGGCAATGGGCTTGTTTTGTTTTTTTAAAGTACCTTCCAAAGAGTATAGCCCCAACTTACCTTGTCAAGTTTATCTCCCTCTACTCACTTGTTTATACCCTAGGCTCCAACTGAGCTAGACTATTAAAAGTTTCTTGTATTTATTCTGCACTTTCCCACTTTTGTGCCTTGTTTAGCTTGTGTCTTCCCTCTGACAGCTTTCCCTTCTCTTCTCTTCCCTGCCCTCTTTTCCCTTCCCTATCCCAATTTTCTTCCTGTCAAAATCCTTACCATCCCTCAAAGCCCTTTTTAAAAAGAGGGGGCATATGTGATTCCCAATACTCACCCCCCAGTCTTAGCTGTGATTTCTACCCCTCTTTAATTCTCACAGTATTTTCTATTCATTTATGAACTGTATTATATATTCTACCTTATGTTGCAGTTATATCCTTATTAACCTGTAAACTCCACAAGGGCAGAGATGATTTTTATACTATAAGCTTTGAGTTTAATAGGTACTCAAGAAACACTCACTAAATTGAATGAAGGGATGGTAGCTTTTCAGGTCCTCTTGAATGAAAGTTAATAGATAATTGTTACTGTATAGCATTATTATTGATTGTAAGTCTTAAAAGTATATTAATTTGAGATATATTATTTACCTTTTTTTTAAGGGAAAAAAGGAAAAGGGAATTAGCTGGAGGCAGAAGCAGTAAAGGTGATACCTGTAGGGATAAATTAATTCACAGTTGTAAACCATGAATCTACATTCACTAACATCAGTTCTTTTGTTCTTCCAAAGTATCTTTGCTTTTCTTGCTTAGTAATGTAGATCACAGTTCAATGTTCACTGATATAAAAAAGTAATTCACGTTGGGCCTCCTAGCATAGTACTGCTCAGCACTGCTATCCCTACTGTTTTCTTAGAGAAAATGGTTTTCTGTGCTCTCTTTAGAGGATGATCTTTTTATATTGAGATAGTTTAATGGACCTTTTCTGAATTCTGAATTACTTTGTAGCTATGGCCATGCTCTGTTACCCGGTGAAGGTGCAGCTATGGCTGAATATGTGAAAGCTGGAAAACGTATCCCACGAAGAGGTGAAATTGGCCTGACAAGTGAAGAAATTGCATCATTTGAATGCTCAGGTTACGTAATGAGTGGTAGCAGGTATGTTCTTGGTGTTGAAGTCAGTTTCCATGATTAGATCTTTTCCTTCTTTCTTACTACCAGAATAATATATTGGTGATTAATTTTCATTAAGTGACCATTTTTAATGAAAAATACAGTATAAATATTGCTTTAATATTGGTTTTATTGGTATAAATGTGGTTGTCTAAAATTCCAAGTATATATGCAACTCAGTCTCAAAATTAGCTGCATTCCAGCTTCACAGAATCAATCTTTCCAGTGTCCTTTCCTAGTTGATATTTTGGTACAGTATTTTATCCACTGGAGGCTATAGATAAATTTAGCTATTTATCACCGCCCCATGAGGAATGTGGCATTTTGGTAGTTAGGAAAGCATTTTCTTAAGACAGTGGTTCGTGGTTTCTGAGTTTGACTCCAGTTCTCTGTGGACTCAGGGTTTCTAAGAATGGATGGCAAAAAAGGATTGTGACGGACATCAGGTTCAGCATGGGGGAATGAATCTAACATTAGGGAAGAGAAATCAGGGTACCATGAAGAACCAGGAGAGTGAGCTAATAGTGCATCAGTAGCAAGATCAAATTGAACTTTGGATTTTTAAAAACTTTATACATTTTTTAAAGTAGGCAAATATTTGTAAATGAAATTGGAAGCAAATATTTACAGAACTGCTAAAGCACCTCTAGAATCTTGGAATTTGGAGAACTAGCATTTGAAAATATTATATTGGAGGACCAGTACAATAAGAAAAGAAAAAGAAATTAGAGGCATAAGGACTGGAAAGGACTTATTCTTTGTGAGTAATAATGATTGTTAACATAGAAAACCCAAAGAATCTTCAGATGGATTATAAGTAATAGGGTTTAACAAATGATTGGATATAAGTTTAATGCACAAAAATCAATTCATTTCTATATGCCAGCAAGAAACAACTAGAAAACATAATTAAATAAAAAGAAAACAACATTTATAATAGTATCAGAGAATATTAAGTACTTAGGAATAAATCAACAAAAGATTCCTGAGACTTCTACAGGGAAAATTATAAAACATTATTAAGAGCCATTAAAGAAGACCTAAGTAAATGGAGAGATACCAGGTTCGTGGATAGGATATTGTAAAGTTGTCAGTCGTTCCCAAATTGATTTGTAGATTCAGTGCAGTTTCAGTCAAAAGCACAACAGAGTTTTTCATGGAACTTAATAAACTGGTTCTCAAATTTGTATGTTAGACTAAAGAGACAAGAATTGAGAGCACTTGTGAAGAACAGGAAGGTGATATTTGCCCCACCAGATATGAGGACTTATTATGAAGCTTACAGTACTTTAGAAAATGTGAGGGGCACAAAGGAATTGTTCAATGGAATAAAATAGAGAGCCCAGGGATAGAGGTATGCATGTATGGAACTTTGGTATAGGAAAGATATGGCATGTCAGATCAGTGGGGAAAGAAAGAACTGTTCAGTAAATGGAGTAGAAAAAACGGTTATCCATATGGAAAAAGATGAAAGTAGAACCCTATATCACACCATATATAAAAATCAGTGAAACTAGATTAAAGACTTAATTGTCAAAAATAACTTTAACACTCTATTAGTGTAAAATATGGGCAGATATGTTTGCCCATATACCTTGGAGTGGGGAAGTGTTTCTTAAAGAAGATATAAAAGTGCTAACCCTAAAATAAAATATTGATAATTTTGCCTAGATTAAAGTAAGAACAATTTGTTCATCAAAAGACACAGTAAAGAAAGTAAAAAAGACAAGTTACAAGCTGGGATAAGATTTTGCAATCATACAGCTGATAAAGAGTTAGTATTGAGAATATTTAAAGAATACCTATAAACAGCCACCCCCCCCCCAAAAAAAAATGGGAAAATGACACAAACAGGCATTGTCAGAAGAAGAAATAAATACGGCCAATACATACATTAAAATGTGTTCATTGATCATTGTAAATGGAAATCAAAACCATAGTGAAATACCATTTTAAACCCATTTGATAGACAAAAGTTCAAAATTCCAACAATACCAAGCATTTTGAGAGGATGTGGGTCTACAGGATCTCTTAAATATTGCTAGTGGTAGTGTAAATTGGTACAACCACTTTGGAAAACAGCTGGCATTATCTTGTAATGTTGAACATTAATATGCTTTATGACTGAACAACTACCCACCTAGATGCCCAAGAGAAAGTCTTTCCCATGTACTAGGATGTTTATTACAGCACTGTTCACATAGCTCTTTCTGTCCCTGATAGATTGCTCTACTTACTGTACCCTGAGCAACCTAAGTATGTTCTCATCTCCTTGATTTTCCTTCGTACCACTCCCCCACTTCCATACCAACCTGAAATAATTCACCTCTCTTCTCCTTACCCAATTTGTCTCCATTTTTCTAGACTTAGCTCAAGCCTCATCTGGAACTGATTGTGTAGGATTGGGCACATATACATAAAAGAAGCAAGTCTTCATGAAGTTTTCTCACTAAGAAAACAGGCCTTTTTTAAAAAAATGGTGCTTTAAGTGAAAGTTTACAATTCAAGTTAGTCTTTCATACAAGACTTCACACACACACCGCTATGTGACCCTAGTTGCACTCCCCACACTGTGACAGCACACTCCCCCCTTCCATCCCGGATTCCCCATGTCCATTGAACCAGCTCCTGTCCCTTTCTGCCTTCTCATCTTGCCTCTGGACAGGAAGGAGCTGCCCATTTAGACTCATGTGTCTACTTGAGCTAAGAAGCACTCTCTTCACGAGTATCATTTTGCATCTCATAGTCCAGTCCAATATTTGTCTGAAGAGTTGGCTTCGAGAATGGTTTTAGTTTTGGGCTAACAGAGAGTCTGGGGGTCATGTCTTCTGGTGTCCCTCCAGTCTCAGTTAGACCATTAAGTCTGGTCTTTTTACTAGAATTTGAGTTCTGCACCCCACTTTTCTCCTGCTCCGTCAGGGACTCTTCTGTTGTGTTCCCTGTCAGGGCAGTCATTGGTGATAGGAGGGCACCATCTAGTTCTTCTGATCTCAGGCTGATGGAGTTTCTGGTTTATGTGGCCCTTTTGCCTCTTGGGCTAATATTTTCCTTATATCTTTGGTGTTCTTCATTCTCCTTTGCTCCAGGGGGGTTGGGACCAATTGATGCATCTTAGATGGCCGCACACTAGCTTTTAAGACCCCCGCCACCACTCACCAAAGTGGGATGTAGAACATTTTCTTTATAATCTTTGTTATGCCGGTCGACCTAGATGTTCCCTGAAAGCATGGTCCCCAGACCCCCGCTCCTGCTACTCTGTCCCCCTAAGTGTTTGCTTGAATTCAGGAAACTTCTTAGCTTTGGTTTAGTCCAGTTGTACTGACTTCCCTGTATTGTGTGTTGTCCTTCCCTTCACCTAAGATAATTCTTGTCTACTCTCTAGTTATTGAATCCCCCTGTCCCTCCCTCCGCACCCTCGTAACCATCAAAGAATGTTTTCTTCTGTGTTTAAACCTTTTCTTGAGTTCTTACAGTAGTGGTCTTATACAATATTTGTCCTTTTGCAACTGACTAAATTCACTCAGCATAATGCCTTCCAGATTCCTCCATGTTATGTTTCATGGATTCATCGTTGTTCTTTATCATTGCATAGTATTCCATTGTGTGAATATTACCATAATTTGTTTATCCATTCATCCATTGATGGGCACCTAGATTGTTTCCATCTTTTTGCTATTGTGAACAATGCTGCAATGAACATGGATGTGCATATATCTATTCACATGATGGCTCTTATTTCTCTAGGATATATTGCAAGGAGCAGGATAGCTGGAGCATATGGTACTTCTATTTCTAGCTTTTTAATGAAGCACCAGATCAATTTTCAAAGTGGTTGTACCATTTACATTCCCACGAACAGTGTATAAGTGTTCTAGTCTCTCCACAACCTCCTCAACATTTATTATTGTGTTTTTTAGATTAATGCTAGCCTTGTTGGGGTGAGATGGTATCTCATTGTAGTTTTGATTTGCATTTCTCTAATGGCTAATGATCATGAGCATTTCCTCATGTGTCTGTTAGCTGCCTGAATGTCTTCTTTGGTGAAATGCCTGTTCATATCCTTTGCCCATTTTTTAATTGGGTTATTTGTCTTTTCGTTGTTGAGAGAAAACAGACCTTTTGAAAATGATACAATATTTTTCCTCTGCCTCTGCCCCTATACTTTCCTGATTTGGCCATTGTGCTAAATCCCATCTTTCTTTTCTTTGAGCCACTGCCAGATTCTAAGGAAGTTGAATCCAGTCTCAAAAACTCCTCTTCAATTATAGATTTAGGCTTGGCTCTTTGAGTTGTATAGTAAGCAGTTCCACTTAATTGTTGACAGGTTGAATCTTTCCTACTATCAATTCTACAATTGATAGTAGGAAATAAATAGATTACCCAGGAAGTTTTATAATTTGCCCATTTCTGGTGGTTTTACTGGAAATGACTGAACTAGACTTATGCCCTTAGTATTTAAAATTAATGGTAATGTTCACTATGCTGACAGAATATCAGAGATCATTATTTGAATACTAGAAATGAATCAAAGGATACATCACATCAGCAGATAAAACATACGATCTTTTGAAAATTTAACCCATTTCAAAAACACAGTTTCTATTTGTCAGCTTTTTAAATAGACTACTCTGTATTAAGAAAGGATTAGTGAGGAAGTGCTATGAGAATAATTACTGAGAAATTAAGCCAAAAATAAAATTATCTCCAGGCATCGCCGAATGGAGGCTGTGCGACTGCGAAAAGAGAACCAGATCTATAGTGCTGATGAGAAGCGAGCCCTTGCATCCTTTAACCAAGAAGAGAGACGAAAAAGAGAGAACAAGATTCTGGCCAGTTTTCGAGAGATGGTATACAGAAAGACCAAAGGGAAGGATGACAAATGAGGATTTTCTGATTGTTCAGCAGACATTTTTAACAACAAAAAACAAAGTTTGGGTTCCACACATACACAAAAAGGTTATTCTGAAAGAGCTTTACAGTTATACTGTGCCTTCTATTTAATTCTTTCAGTCCTTCAATAAAAAGCTGCTTGTTGGTGTACCTTTAACAAGTTCTTTGGGTTATTTTGCATTGGCCATAACTTTCTGATTTGAAAATCCAAATTATGGATAAGATCCTACTTTATTGGGGGAGGTGCCATGGAGAAAAAGTGTTGATGAGATGAGAAACTTAAATCTCATATTATGGGACAGTGCTAGTTTTAACTCTACATGACTCCTGCCTTACCCCCCTCAACTGAACTTGTGAGAAATTATCATTCCTCTGTTTTGAATGTGTTATAAATGGACTTGATAGAAACATATAGGAGACCACTTTTGTTAATAAAATGAAGGCTTTGCTGAAACAGGCAAATCTGGAATTTGAAAATTGACTTGTATAATAGTCTTCCGTAAAAGTAATGTATTTTGCTTTTAGTCCCTACCTCCACCCCAAAACCAACAAACAAACCAAAAAGCAAACTAACCCACAGACTTGCTGAATTGAAAATGTGAACATTAGTTTTAAAAATTATAAGTTACTTAAAAACAGTATTTTTAATAAGTTACTTAAAAACAGGTCTTTCAAATATAAAATCTTGGGAAGTCTACAGTTGTGTCAATATAAGTACATTATTTCGATCTAAGCTGTGCTTTGATGATAGGATAAAATTCTCAGAAGAATGGAAGTCAACTATGGTCAGGAGTTTGATAGGTGAAAATATAATTAATCAGTATTTTTACTTAATTGTTTCATAAGGTTGAAGCTAAAATGATATTAAAACATTTTTAAGTTTGTCCTTTATGTAATAAACAGATTTTATTTTAAAAATTGTTAAACCATTCAGCTTATTTTTTATATCTGTCATTCAGTTTAATCTTTAATGTTGTGTAGAATCCCCTCACTTGATCACTTTTGTATGGCTACTATTGACTTTTAAGTTTGGGAGAAATAGAAAATACAGATTATGAAACCACAGTCTTTCTCCTTTCCTATTTTGTTCAATTTTAGGTTAAAGAGTGGAGGGAGAGGAGGCAGTGGAAGTTTTGGCTGTTTTTGTTGAGGTTGTTTTGAGCTACGCTATTATTATAAGCCTAGGATAAAATTTAAATTACATGGGTGATGGGGAAGTTCTGACTATGCTGTTAAAATTCCCTCTCTTCTTACAAGAATTTAAAGGTTTTTTTTCAGAGTTCTTAATTAAGGCAGTCATATTTGTCAAAGTATAGATTAAAATTTTTACTCTTTAGCATATGTTCCAGGAAAATGTCTACGTTTAATCCACAACTAATGAACTAAACAACCAGTGAACATGTAGCAACATTTATGACTTATGAATGTGAAGTAATTTCTATTATCTATACCTAAAATTCAAGCCTCAAGTTGCAATATTGAAGGATTCTATGGGCAAAATATTGAATAATTCAGGAAGCATCAAAAGAAGATGGAAGGAACATACAGAGTCACGGCACAAAAACAGTTGGTTGACGTTCAACCCTTTCAGGAGGTAGCAGATGATCAACAACTGATGGTACCAAAGGAAGAAGTCCAAGCTGCACTGAAGGCATTGGCGAAAAATAAGGGTTCGGGAATTGACGGAATACCGATTGAGATGTTTCAACAAACGGATGCAACACTGGAAGTGCTCACTCATCTGTGCCAAGAAATTTTGAAGACAGCTACCTGGCCAACCAACTGAAAGAGATCCACATTTGTTCCCATTCCAAAGAAAGGTGATCCAACGAAATATGGAAACTATCGAACAATATCATTAATATCACATGCAAGTAATATTTTGCTGAAGATCATTCAAAAGTGGTTGCAGCAGTACATCGACAGGGAACTGCCAGAAATGCAAGCCGGATTCAGAAGAGGACATGAAACGAGAGATATCATTGCTGATGTCACATGGATCTTGGCTGAAAGCAGAATACCAGAAGGATGTTTACCTGTGTTTTATTTACTATGCAAAGGCATTCGATACTATATGGACCATAACAAATTATGGATAACATTGCAAAGAATGGGAATTCCAGAACACTTAATTGTGTTCATGTGGAACCTGTACATAGACCAAGAGGCAGTCATTCGAGCAGAACAAGGGGATACTGTGTGGTTTAAAATCAGGAAAAGTGTCTGTCAGTGTTGTATCTTTTCACCATACTTGGTCAATCTGTATGCTGACCAAATAATGAGAGAAGCTGGACTATATGAAGAAGAACATGGCATCAAGATTGGAGGAAGACTTATTAACAATGTGCGGTATGCAGATGACACAACCTTGCTTGCTGAAAGTAAAGAGGACTTGAAGCACTTACTGATGAAGATCAAAGACTACATGTAGCCTTCAGTATGGATTACACCTCAATATAAAGAAAACAAAAATGCTCACAACTGGACCAATAAATAACATCATGATAAATGGAGAAAATGTTAAAGTTGTCAAGGATTTCATTTTGCTTGGATCCATAATCAACGCCCATGGAAGCAGCAGTCAAGAAATCAAATGACATATTACATCGGGCAAATCTGCTGCAAAAGACCTCTTTTAAAGTGCTAAAAAACAAAGGTGTCACTTTGAGGACTAAGGTACGTCTAACCCAAGCCATGGTATTTTCAGTCACCTCATATGCATGTGAAAACTAGACAATGAATAAGGAAGACCGAAGAATTGACGCCTTTGACTTATGGTGTTGGCAAAGAATATTGAATATACCACAGACTGCCAGAAGAATGAATAAATCTGTCTTAGAAGAAATACAGCCAGAATGTTCCTTAGAAGCTAGAATTGTGAGGATGGCACAGGACCGTGCAGTGTTTCGTTCTGTTGTTCATCGGGTCGCTACGAATCATAACCAACTCGATGGCACCTAACAATGCCAACATATCTAACGATAGTTACTGCCTAGGCTAATGAATTTATAGTTCCTAAAAGTTAAGCAGAAACTAGGTATCAAACTCATGAGTCTTAAGCCATCTACTTTGCTGTGTAATAAAATCTAACTTTTATAATCCCCATTTAAAATTTTTATTCTCTGTGAATATTTTTTGTTACTGGTTCCTAAAGACTGATTAGCATGTTCTCTTATTTTCAGTAGGCAAGGTAGTTTAAATGTAACAATTTTGTGGTATATGAATATTGTGAATTTTCATTTGATTTTTCCACCTGTCTCCTCCACAAAGTAGATAACAAATGCTTATTGAGTAAATGAAAGAAAAGATATGAATGTATTTCAAAACTTTACCATTTCTTTCATTAGAGCTTGTTAGGGAAAGATCTGCTGAAGAACAGCCTTCAGTAGCATATTCTTTGGGGAAGAATAGGGAAGAATAAAAGGGCTTAAAGTATTTTATTTTCAGCTCATGAGAGTTACTGCTTGGTAACCTGTGTGTAGTCACCAGAGCCATAAGTCAAATAGTAGGGCTATTGTGTTTTAAATACATTTTTTGTTCTCCAAGGAGAGTTAGCTAGTTTCCTACTTCCTTGTCTCTGTATGTTGCTTTGATAGGATTTTCCCTCCTGTTTTACATTTATTGCACAAATATAAGTTTAAAAAAAAGAAGAAAGAAAAATTACCTACAGCCCTACCTGCCTAACATCAGTTATTTTCAGGATTCTATGTTCCTTTACAGTGTTCATCTATGTAAATACGTATTCTGACATACTTGTAAGTAATCACGCATAGTGTAATGTAATTTTGTCTTTGGTGTTTTAAAATTTTGCACCCAGGCAACACAGCCTCACAGGGATGGTAGGAACAAGTGATGATCTTGTGTGAGGATGGGAAGAAGACACAAGACTGAACCCCTGTTTCATTGCCCCTAATCCTCAGCCACTCTGCTGCCATCACAATTGTGACGGTGTATTGTGGAAGCCAGCATGCCAGGTTTGTTTAGCAGTGAGGCTTAACTCACAGTAAATGAAGGGGCCTATGAGTAGGGAAACTTTTTGACTGATTATATTATAAGCTGTAGAACTGTTGCCATTTTGCTGTTCTCTGGTTGTGCCCATAAAGAGGTGTGTCTGGGCTAGAGTCTTAGACTCAGATGGGGGTACAGCAGCCAAGCACCAATCTTAGTTTGGTTTGATGGTTGAATTTTAGAAACTCTCTGAACTTAGCTTCTGTACCCGTGAGACTCTGAAGTGATACATACTGTGATGGGAAAACCCTTTTAGATAATAGGAAACAACTTACTGGTTACTCTGCCAATGTGATGGGAGTTTCAGAATGGAAAATGAATGCAAAAAAAACAAACAAACAAAATAAGCTGGATTGTGTGCCACAGGTTTATTATTCAATAAATATTCTGTGGTTTGATGTGCAGTATTGTATTTTTAATACGTTCCGACTACAAATCCAATCCCAAAACATTCCATTAAGAGTTAAGCATAATTAAATTAGATTCAGCTGACTCCACTAAAATGTATTTGCCCTCAATCATGTCTCTCAGCCATTTTTCTCGAAAGCGATACATTCCTGGTCTGCAGAAGAATAAAAACAAAAATACCGAAAGCTTTTAAATCAAACAAAACATTGAGCCAGGGATTCCCTGTTTATTATATTCCTAGTGAGCAAAAAGCCTCTTTAGGTGGAGAGTTCTCTCTATCCTTTACTGTTCCTTAGGCCAATCAGTGAAACGATTAATGAGGTTGTAGGTAAAGATTTTTTAAGAGAACTGCTATACAAATAAAAGGGAGTATTATACATGAGTTAATTATGTGTGGTTTTTGAAGCTTCCCGTAGAAACAATAGACACTGACTTTCCCTCCCTCCCTACTCCAGCAACTAATCTTCAAGTTTCTAATCACTGAAAAACCAGACACTAAGAAAAACAATTTTCTAGAACAAAGGCAGAATCCTACTTTCAGCCTACTCTAATGGGATAGTGGTCCAAAGGAGAACAAAAGTGACCATTATATGAGTTATAGTTGTGGCCTGCTGGATTCCTGGAGTGTGATGACCACCCCACCCCACCCCACCCCAATCACTCTTTTAAATAAGTCTCCAAGTGTTCATTACCTGTGAACTAATGTTTGGGACTCAAAAATATAAAAGACATCAACAGGCATATCCTAAGAGAGAAAAGGACAGTTGTTACCCTAAACCAATCATACCAACTCAATTCCTCCATCCCTATACTTGTTCCCTGTACTCTTTCTTTAATTTCTATAATGCATCTTCCTTATGAATTGGAAATCTGTAGTTGGTAATTCTTTGTCACATTAAATCTCTGTCTCCCGGAAGATCTTTTTGGCAACAAATACCTTAGGAATCTCCACAAAATTTAGAGACATGTCTGGGGAGAGGCTTGCAGAAATGTGCTGCTCATGAATAGGAGCTTGAGTAAGTCATTTACCTTCTTTACATGCTCCAGTTTACTCAATAGACAATATTTACCCTTTAGGAATGGCCTGAGAATGAAATAATACAAATGAACAAGGTTTGAAAACATTTTTAAAGCAGCATAATATTGTCTTGTAGCACCTTGTAATATTGTCTCCATGGTACCCACCCAGTCTCCTCTCCAAAAGTTTTACTTATAATTTTGACCAATAGCCATTCTCCCAAACGCTCTCTCTGGATAACCTCTGGTGATGGTCTTATTCCCCTCCACCAGCCTTACTTCCTGAGCTCTCACCTTGCCAGTTAGCAAACCAGCTGATAGAGGGAATATATGACCAGGAGAAGTGAGACCTCCACATGTTTTACCTCTTGATCATTCCAGATTTCAGGCTCTGAATAGATAAGTTTGTACTAGAATAGGATGAATATAGGTCATAGTTGGCTCACTGGCTGCATCACCTTATGGTCATATATAAAGCCTTCAAGTTAGGCTAAGCCTCAAATAATTTTTGTGAAACGATGGGAAGGCGAATGGAAAATAATTATGTCTGACGTGTTCTGGGCATTATACTTGGTATCGACCCTTCTCCTCATTGGATCCTTTCCCTGGATTCGTGAATGTGACTCTTTTCATACCCCCCTATCAAGTCAACATATTTCTTATTCATGGTCTACCTAGTGGCTACAAGCAATTATTCCTTCTAGTATTTGAGTGACTACTATTTGCCAGACCTTGTTTTAGAGCAAGACAAAAATCTCAGCCTTCATAGAACTTACATAACTGGTGAGGGTGCGGTTGGGGAGGTGGGGGTGAGGGACCAGACAATAACAAGATAATAAATTATATAGAGTATTAGAAGGTGATAAAGCGTTATGGAAAAAAAGCATGTTAGGGAATAGGAAGTACAGGGTAGGAGGTGAAGAAGTGAGCCATGCAGATACGTAGATGGAGAGTGTTCCAGGCAGAAGGAACAGCAACTGCAAGAACCCTGAGGCAGGACTATACCTGACTTATTTGAGGAATAGAAAGGAGATGAGAGTGTCTAGAAAAGAGCAAGTGAGGAGGAAAGAGTAGTGGGAAAGCAGAAATAACAAGAGGCCAGACCACACAAGGCCTTGTAGGCCCTTGCTACTCAAAGTGTGTCTATGGACCTACAACAGCATCACCTGGGAGCTTGTGAGAAATGCAGAATCACAGGCTCTACCCCAGACCTGCTGAATCAGAATCTTCATTTTAAGAAAATACCC